TTCTTCATGTATCCGAGCGTATACGAGAAGGAAAAAGTAAAGCCGGAGGAAGGGGATCACAAAACGTGGATTCAGATTACGCTACGTTTGAAAAGAAGTAATTTATTACAAGAACATGGAGAACGAAGAAAAAACCCTCTTTTAAGGTAACGGAGAGGCAAAAAACAATTTTTTCTGTCAGAAAACGGCACTTTTACAGCGGCACTACATAACTTTCTCTATAGACGAAGATATGAATATTCAGTTATCTCGATTTCTTTTTTGGTTGGAAGTTTTAACTTATTTACCATTCACACAATTTGATACATTTGAAAAATAAGAGTTTGCGTAAAATACATATATTGTATTTTTTGCTGAATAAAATCATACCAGAAATACACACACACACACACACACACACACACACACACACACACACACACACACACATATATATATATATATATATATATATATATATATATATATATACAGAAATGTTTGTATGAACATAAGTGACGACCGTGATAATTTAGGTAACATGTGTATCTATTAACAGATTCCCAAAAATCCTTTACACTCAATCACAAATTTGCTGGGGGCAGAAATCCAATAAGTAATACATATGCAAGCTCTTTTTAGTTGCATCAGTGATCAATAGAAGAGATGGACATGGAACCCCAGATTTGTATGTGTTTTATCCAATTTGCCTAATTGCATGAGGCCAAACTGAATACTTGAATGGAGAGGAATCGACACAAATGTGTCTCATTATACTCGAGCTAATGCGTCACATTTAAACGTTTGTTAAACAGTTCAGGCTTACAAATCGCAAATTATTTTCGACCGTAGCTTTGTGAATACCGGGAAACAGTTTTGTGTGTGTGTTTGTTTTTAAAACCTGCTCGTAAAGCAAACAACGCTTTGCGTTTGACTAAAATCTGTGGATGAGAGTCTCATGGAAATTAAAAACAACAACAAAAATGTGCTTCATAAATTATCAAAACGATGAGTACTTCTTTTTATTATGTATGTAATATTTTCAATAAATATATAAATAAATATATTTTTTCAAATTGTTTCGATTTTCTTTTCTGATGGAAAACACTCGTAGGTTGCTCTCATTACACATGTAGACACCGGAAATAAAACCTTTGCAAGAACCCCCTCGGTAGGTCATCAGTAAAATGAAATCCCCCACAAACTCTTCGTTTATATGAGATCAATATTTACGAATAAATATCTATGACCAATTCTGATATAGTTTTAGGGGGAAAATTTAAATATTAAACAAATAGAATTGTGAATAATTTGAAACTTAAGAATTTCTCTCATGAACTTTGTGTTAAAACGAGAAGTAAACACTTTGACGGCAAAAAGTCTGTATGTCTGTCATTCTGACTATCCGTTCAATTGTGATCAATGCTAGTTATTAAACCGTTGTTACAAGTTTCCCCATGCTTGATAATCCTCAATCGATCTGGCTGATGTCAAGGCTCCTTAATTTGAAACAGATATTTAAATTTTTGAGATACTGTACATTAATTGCCGGGAACATTTTCAAAATTTTCCAAAAACAAATGGTGGCTCCGTAACCGGTACACTCCAGTGGGTGCCGCAGGACTTGAGACATTGAGATTCTTTCAATTCTGGTTTGTTGGTCTTTAGGTCTTCCTTTTACTTTTACTTTTCTTTTTTTAAAGTTCTGACAGTGGTATTCAGCAATTGTTTGTTCATTTTGAAGTAATCAAGGCACGCTTGTGTGTAATATTATTCCTTGGTTTCTGTATAAACGTGCTGCAAATTCTGTAACAGTTAAATTTATTCGGGTTCGTTTCATTTGGAACATTTGGAAATGATTATTGTTGCTGTCTACAAAAATATAGGCCAATAATACACCACAGACGCTTTATTTGAATTAGATTTTTTTAAGTTATGAGTTTAAGTAAAAACTTCGTATATTTCAATATTACGACTATTTCGAATAATGCAAGAACGAATGTGCTCTTCTAGCTCCTGTATTTTCACATTTTATCAATTTTTGAGACACCTAATGACAGAATGAAAATATATCTTTAAGATAATATGGAAGGGTAAAATTTCGCCCTAAAGGGAAATTTTCGTTGAAGAATGTAAAGCAGTTTTGGAAATAATATCGTTTAAGCATTTCTGGAAATACAAGATTTGAAGCTCATTTTCACAGAAAACTTAAGTTTTCTGCAAACTTTATTAGAAATCGTTGGAAGTGCTTCTACTCCGAAATAAAATAGAAGTACAAGTGCAGCGAGGCTCTTTGCAGCAGACGCCTACACTCGTAACTAATCTACACTCGCCAATTCCTTCGATTTTCCCTATTTTCCTCTCGGAAGAAACGTAATAGCGAAAAAGTAAAAACGCTTCTTTAGACAAATAGGACATTTCACACCTTTTCCCTTTGTATCCAAAGTATTGGTACGAAATGACGTGGTATTTTGTCTGAATCGGGGTCCCAGCCGCCTCAGAATCACATTGAAGATGGCTGGAAAGCGACCGAAAAATTAATTAATTTTTATGAAACAATGAACACGACAAAACAACGCCTCATATTTCTATAAAGGGCACAAAGCAGCCCAGGGCCTAAGAACTCCGCGTTTCCGCCCCAGGATAGGGCAGCTGCTGACCTCTGCCCTGCCCTCGAAGCGCTTGCGTTCAGCCTCTCTCTCGCTGAGCGCGCGTCCGCCCGGTGGCCTTTTAGGGCGGCATTGAAATCGCGCGTAGCGGCGCCCATATACGCGCGGCTGTTTTACGCCGGGCGTTTCATCCCGCGTGCCCCCTACGACGTCGCGCGTGCGTTTTAGGGGCCCATCGCGGCCTCGCCCCCCACCCCTACCCCCACCCCGCGCCAGCGTTTGGGTTCGGAGCCGTTTTAATTATTCGTGGAGATCGGGGGCCTAAGAACGTCGTTTCGTCTGGACTCGGCGAACAAGTGCATGTAATAGCAGAGGACTGTAATAAAATTCACCCTGGATCAGCGAATGCCTATAACGCTTGTTTCGGTTGTATGTTTTAGGGCAAGTAAAATAAATTCTTGGAATCAGCGGAATAACGTAATAAAATGTGGATTTTCAGCGAAAAATTACTTTTGATACAAATCGTATCTATCAGTTTTTCAGAGAAGAATAATGCAGTGAAATAAGATTGCTATAAACCAAGGCTAGGTTTGAGATTCAAATTAATAACCATGTTTCATGAAGATAAAATTTTGATATGCTTGGCACTGTAGGTTAATTTGAGACATTCTTTTTATTAGAAAGAATATATTAGTAATAACGTGGTTAGTAATAATGAGGTAATAAATGTGTAAAATATAATTGAAAACTTTCTCTTGGATGCGTTTTGTAAATTCTCTGAAAATCAATATTTTCTTTGGTTCACTTTATATTCGATCAAAGAAATGATTTTCGTGTACAATGTAACTAGAAAACCGGAAATTGTAAAAGATCGAAGTGTGATAAAGGAGTGACTTTCAGAGTTGACATGTTTTGGTTGTTTTTCAAACTTACTGCACATGGACGTTGTTGAAGCTAAAACATTGTGACAATGTAAGTTCTAATAAACAAGTTTAATACATAATATAAATGCACGTCTTCAGCGCTGTTGTTACACAGGGTTCCAGTGAAAATATATAATACAAGATATAAAAATAACCAGTTTCCAGAACATATCGGGCAAAATACTATTTACTGAAATCAGAAAATGCACGAACTCCTGCAATAGAACCTACAACATCGTAACTAAACGTTAATTACAAGACTACGTCCATGAAGCAGCCACCCCATCGCTCGGATAAAAGAGAGAATGGAGTTCCCGGGCGCACCGAGTCCATTCCGCCTCATTACGCAAGGTGCGGGGCTGTTCCGTGACAGTCCGCAGCGCAGCACGGCGGCGCCGCGAAAGTTCGTTTATAAACAGCTTTGAAGTTGGGGCGAAGTGGCAGTGACAAAGGCTGCAGATGGCCACCCGCCCCTGCACCCCAATCTCCTGCCCTCCTCCTCCCCCCCCCTCGGGCCGCCCGCCGAGCAAAGTTAGTACCTGGTTCGTCATCGGGCGGACGAGCTTCCAACCAACCGCCCTGGTCACAGAGTAGGGCTTTAAGGTGAGGAGGCAGACGCAGGGACGACGAGGTAAATTTGGGAAGAGGCAGATAAAGAATTTGATTCAGACGGTAAGGGTCTTGGAGACAAAGAAGTACAGACGATGACAAGGAATAAGATTGGGAAAGAGAGATGAACGACGAAAGGTAAAACAGGAGATGAGATTGGCAGTTACTTCATGGACTTATGAAGGAAGAATAAAGCTAAGTAAATGTCACGAAATTGAGGAATATAGTAGGTAAAATTGAATTATAAAAAATTCAAAAGTGTTCTCGAGTATTTAAAATAGACCTTAAAAACGTATTCGTTATAAAGATAATAGTAAATTATGTATCTATATTGGAACACGGAACAAGGAATATAGACACTTTAGAAATCGTGATGCAAACCCTTTTTGTTCGTCACGGATCACTCTTCACTGAGTGACAAAGCGTCTATCTATGTATTGGAAGAACCGCCTCCCTTCCAATTTGAAAGCATAATGTTCATATTTGGAAATCATAATTTTACTTCCATTGCACATAAATCCTAAAAATTGGCGAGTCTCATAACTTCAATCAAATTCTTAAGGTCAGTATTCTCTAGTTTACTGTGTATAAATTAGTGCAATGCGTGCTGTAATATATTAAACAAACGACACGATCCCAAAAGCTTAGATCAAGGTCGACTGCGTAAGCCCTTGGCAATATTGTGATGTAGCCGGAAATTGGTCCGACAGAAAGAAGAGACATTGATATGTGGCGAAGAAATAGGCTGTCATAATGATGAAGGTAGAGGATCTCGACGTTTTCCTTGAAGACTGAAGCCTCCTTGTAACACCACATTGAGGCGTGGCGAGGGGCTATTTAAGAGATGGAAAAGATAGGTTCACTGCTTGTAGAAACTCACCTGAGGGCCTCCTTGTAATGCGCGGTGGCGAGCTCGATGTTGCCCTCGTCGCGCTGGAAGTTGGCGAAGTTGTAGTGCATCTTGGCGTTATGCGGCAGCGCCCCGCAGCCCCGCCCCTGGCGGACCAAGCGACAGCCACGCGTCCGCCCGCCCCCAGACAGACGCGCGCAGCTCACTCCCCCCTAGCCGCCACGCATCTCACCTGACGAGCGCCTCCCGCCGACGCCCAGTCCGGTTGCCGCGCCAGCGTCCGACTTTTGCAAAGAGCAGCAGAGCAGCAGCAGCCCGCCGCAGCAGCAGCGGCCGGTGGCGGAAACAGCGCCCCCACAGCAGTGCGCTCGTCGCCGCCGCAAGCACCGAGCCCAGCTGGGGAATGTACAGCACGGCGCTCCGCCACCACGAAGCCCACGTCAACCAGCGGTTGGCGGCGGGCAGGAAGGCAGCGCGCAGCAGCAGGCGCCAGCACGGCGGCGGGGTGCTCTGCTGCCTGCGCACGCGCAACAGCAAGGCTTTTCAAGGCCAAGCACAACAGACAGGCAGGGGCAGCGCCAGCAAGCAGCGTGCCTCTGCGCCTGGCGCACACGCCACACGGGGCTCTCAAGGCCAAGCACAACAGACAGGAAGGGCAGCGCCAGCAGCAGACATCTGCGCCTGCGCATACGCCACACGTGGCTCTCAAGGCTAAGCACAACAGACAGGAAGTGTAGCGCCTGCAGCAGCGCGCCTTTGCACCTGCGCTCACGCCGCAACACGACTCTAAAGGCCAAGCACAACAGACAGGAAGGGCAGCGACAGAAGCAGCGCGCCCAGCACAGCGGCGGGGTGCCTCTGCGCCTGCACACGCGCAACACGGGGCTCTCAAGGCCAAGCACACAGACAGGAAGGGCAGCGCCAGCAGCAGAGCGCCTCTGCGCCTGCGCACACGACACACGGGAGCTCAAGGCCAAGCACAACAGACAGGAAGGGCAGTGCCAGCAGCAGCACGCCTCTGCGCCTGCGCACACGCCACACCGGGGCTCTCAAGACCAAGCACAACAGACAGGAAGTGTAGCACCTGCAGCAGCGCGCCTTTGCACCTGCGCTCACGCCGCAACACGGCTCTAAAGGCCAAGCACAACAGACAGGAAGGGCAGCGACAGAAGCAGCGCGCCTCTGCACCTGCGCACACGCCACACCGGTGCTTTCAATGCCAAGCACATCAGACAGGAAGGGCAGCGCCAGCAGCAGCGCGCCCAGCACGGCGGCGGGGTGCCTCTGCGCCTGCGCACACGACACACCGGGAGCTCAAGGCCAAGCACAAAGAAGGAAGGCAGCGCCAGCAGCAGCGCGCCTTTGCACCTGCGCTCATGCGCAACACGCCCTCTAAAGGCCAAGACAACCGACAGGAAGGGCAGCGACAGAAGGCAGCGCGCCTAAATGCGGCGGGGTGCCCTCCTGCGCGCTGCCACGCGCAACACGGGGCTCTCAAGGCCAAGCACACAGACAGGAAGGGCAGTGACAGCACCAGCATGCCTCTACGCACACCAGAGCTCTCAAGGCCAAGCACGACAGACAAGATGGGCAGCGCCAGTAGCAGCGATCTCAAAACGAGGGTCACCGCAATTGCGCACACGTCACGCAGTAGGACTCGTAAGATCGAACATAAGGAGGCCTCTCAAGATTAAAGAACATTGAACAAGGCACATGGCATCGCGATCTGTAACTCACATTTGCTGAGGCTGTGAAGGCAATGCCCGGTTTGACAAATGGAAAAATTAGTATTAATGTTTCAGAAACATACAATCATTCTTCTAAGGGCCCAAAAATACTATTTGAAATTTGCTTTACGTTATTTTCTGTATTTTCTGAGATATCAATGACTGTAAATATAATGCTTGTAATTAAAATAGAAAGTTGAACTTTCGTGTTAAGAAGACAATTTATAAGGACCTAAAGATCTCAACTCTTGCGAATGTCATTACGAAAAGAATGCAGGAGTATTTGAAGAAATTAAATAAACATACTAACAATCTACGAATTAATCTACTGGGCAATAGTGAACACACACACACACACACACACACACACACTCACAAATACACAATTGTAAATTCATACCATTTACTAAATATTCAAGAACAGATTGTAAATTTTGCAGATGTGAAATAAAAAGACAGAGAAGAAGACAGATACCGTAAGAATGTACTGCATCAATGAACACCAAAACACACTTCGGACTATTATTTGTCGATGAACTTCAAAACATTTCTGGCAGCTTTGTTGGGTCGTTGCGTGGTTACTACGCGTCACGTCAGACAGCAAACTGAGCGCTGCGGCCAACTCCACAGGTCTACGTGCTGCGGCCTTCGCCCCGCCACCATGCCTGCCAACTGCCCGTTCTTCACCATCGAGGTGTCTGCTGGTCCCCCAGTGGACTTCAGCTTCAAGAACCTCAAGGTTTGTGAAATCCAGTTTTCAATGCATCTGTAGTTTTATATATAATACACGAAGTTTACTCTAACTGCATTTTCTGATACAAAAATAGGCAAACATTCATTTTGTGATTTATTTAAGAGATAATACCAATAGCGCCAAAAAATGTTTTAAATTTTGAACATTTGATTTAATTTTGTACACTATTTGGATACATTGTTATAAAACTACTTGATTTTTTGAGCCAAAAATATATGCAGGTCTATTTCATGAAATGATTAATATAAAATAGATATTTACTCAAAACTGGTTTGTTCTAAATTACAACTGACATATTTTTAATTTAATATAATACAAAATAAGATAGTGAAATGCTTAAAAATGGATTTTACCAGTTGTATCTAATAAATATGATAGCAATCATGCGATAAAACTAGAAGTTAATTAAGCTTGTAGGAAAAAATATAGAGCACCATGGCCCTTTACGCTAATAACTCAATGGAAAATTTTAAAGGTTAATATTATTTAGCTAATTTTTTGTACATTTATTTATTTTTTTTGCTTTTGATGATTAAAGATGATCAGGTCAGCGAATTTTTAAATTCGTTGCCGTAGTAATGTAATAGTGAGAATAACAATGATAACAGTAACAATAATTAGAGTATTAATCTAATAATGCAAGGTAATAATGAAAAAACTCTGTTACGAGTATGTAGAGCAGAATGGGATGCTTAATAATACGTTATTAAAAATTGTCTAGTTATTCGAAGTTGTCTGGGTTTTTATTTCCTGCTTTTCCCTCTCCCCACACTCATCACAGCCCATTCCGTCGCGCCGTTCCCTCCACTCTTTACAGTTTGCTCACCTGCTCTCCCTCACACCTCCCCGGTACTGCCCGCCCCCGCCCTGCAAGGTATTGAACTAACCTTTGTAACGTAAAGGGTGATACTATACACACAAAACTTCCATATTGATCTTGATGGTTCAAACGTTCTCGTGGGAAATTTGGTAGCAATCGTTTCATTAGTTCTAAATGTTTGTGGAACAAACATTAATACATACATATATTCAATTTTATGTAATGATTAAACAAATGTGCTCTCCTGCGTTTGTTGAGAATTATTTACATTCTTTACTATTTTACTAGGGTCAAGATCAAAGCTCTAAATATCGATTAGTTTTAAATACTAAAAATGATATTCAGTTTCTTATTGTTGTATTTTGTAATAACAAATTCTCTCTGATATTCAGAACAATCAACTTGCGTCTACTTCACCTCTGGTTTCATTTCAATTATTTGTTCGTATTAACAGCGATTGATTGATGCTAATAATATATTGTTTTTGAGAGGATATGAAGCATGCAATGAGCTGAAAAAGAAGAATCTATCTCAACAAAATCACCCGATCATTTTTCTCACACTTCACATAGGTCTTCTGAACTCATATTTGCTTTTGAATCGCTAGACATGTTCTGTAACTTTAGGATTACATTTTATCTTTGTATATTTCCCACACGAATCTTGGACAATACATTCCTATTATAATTAATAAAGAAAAAGTTGCTTGACAGTGTAATTTCGCCAGATATTTTATAATTCCCTGCGTCCATCATAGCACCACCTGTTAGCATAGACGACAAATAATTATTCATTCATTCATTTGTCCCGAGTAAAACTGGTTTGTTCACTCTTCAAGAGCGTTTGATGGCTATCCCGGAAGGTGTGATCATAAGGGTGGTCCGGACTGCGAAAGCTTGGGGATTCCAGTTACCCCGTACTTACATTCACACATTCATGTACACTACCACACATGCCGGGAAAGCAGACGAGGGTTTATAGCTTATCTCGGCTGGGCCGGTGTCCCGCTGGAGAAAGATACCTGGTTGGGGAAAGTCCTCGGAAGTTGACGGTTAAGTCGGCGCTGGATTTCACCATCCAGAAAGGGAAGATCACAGAAATATCCCGAGGGAAAATATACATTTTTGCGGAACTAACGACCTTACCAGTTGACGCGACCGGTGGCATTCCATAACCAACGCATGAATGAATCCGAGGAGTGCGTGAGTGTGTGCGCGCGTGTGCGCAGACGCTGGGCGGCATGTCGTGCGGGCGGCCGCGCGCCGTGCGCCTGCGCAAGCTCCCGTGCACGGGCTGCACGGGCCGCTTCGTCACGCGCAGCATCTGGCTCAACAACAACTGCCTGACCAGCCTGCACGGCGTGTCGAGCTTCGTGAGCAGCGTGGTCGAGCAGCCCAACTGGCTCGGCTGGCTCGACCTCTCGCACAACTTCCTCACCGACATCCACCCGGTGCGTAAGACTAATGGGTCAACGAACCCGCCTCGATCATTCGTCATCGATTATTATTATTATTATTATTATTATTATTATTATTATTATTATTATTATTATTATTATATAACAGGGATTATGTAAATAAGATTCCTCTAAACTTTTCCCCAAAATAAGTTAACTTCCCGAAACAATCCAACCATCAACAAATAATCCACCAAATCTGACATTCACCAATCGGCCAATCTGAAAAAAATCTGTGCAATGCGATTATATCAAACCTGGTGTCGTGTGTAAAGAATGTAATATTGCTAAGCGCTTCTAATCAAGCAGAAACTATTCTGCATAGAATATCCGCTATTCACTTCTTTTTGGCATGGATTTGGTTATTTTATGAATGTTTCTGAACAAAAAGGTTTTGGAATTAAGGTACCCAGAAGGTGTCGTAAAAGATCCAAACAGTTCACATCTTGTTGTTTGCGACCTACGACACACAGAACAACAGCTATTTAAGAGCCTGAAAACTGAATAAGTTTAGGACGCGCCAATATGCTTTGCAGGGAGCATGCCTGCAGAATTTATTACAATAACTATCCACCTTCCTACTTACTTTGTTTTAAATCTGTTTTATATACTCCTGCGCGGATATTTTCTGACGAGAAATTGCCAATTTATGAGATTCTATGCCTATTACGCCTTTTAAATCGTTAAAACCATTTTCCCTTAGCATATTTTCTATTGAAGGGATGCTCACTTTTAACCCAGAAATGTTTCTATTTATCACGTACACTTCTAAAATTACGTACAAAAACTCAAGAGAAAATGCATTTATTGCCATTATCGTTTATCATTATCATCATGTTATCATTTATTTTTTGTATAATCGCCGAATGGTTTGAGCATTGTTATTAGACGAGCTTTAATCCTCTCTTCAACGAACATTGCCGCCAGTGATGTGATGGACCTGGACTTCGTTTTGAAGCTCTTATTAGTCTGTAAGCGTCGATCTCCTGGCTAATTGATCAATTCGTGGAAGAGAATAAAATTAGTCGACGTAATTCGGATATGTACATGGGATGATGAGCTCCGCCCAATCGGCCCCCAGACATGTTTTGTTCTCAGCAGTACTGTGAGGTTGGCATTGTTGTGAACGAGAACTTTCCAATACCCAGCATTCCATTTCTGTTGTTTAAAAGTTAATACCGTACGATCAGTGCACTATTTGATGAATTTCTACTGCATCATTCCCTTTTCCTTGAACAGACCTTACGCAGAACGCACTTCGCCCGAATCGTCAACCGCAGCAGCCGTCTTCATAACCTAACATCTCGACTCAAATTGTCGAGACAGTTCCGGTAGCAGCATAGAGATGCGCAAAGGCCCACTGCACACACTCATACTTATCTAGCGTTTTAACGGCTCCATCGGAAGCCGAAACGAACGTTGTACGTCAGCGATATCAAGGTCTAAGCCACCAACCGGAGTCTGTTTTACAGGCTAACCCACGAAATCCCTCCTCCATGTAGCTTATAAACTCGCCACAAGAGAGCAGAAAGTAGACAAAGTCCCCCTGAACGTATTTTTACGCATTACATATGAAATACTATTAGGGGGTATTCAGATAAATGAATTTGAAAATGTTTGTTACTATTTATATTTCTACTTTTATTTTTCTGTACGTGTCCTCTTTTTTATGTGACTAGTGGACGGGGCAATGCTTCGCTATTGCAATGTATTCCACTTTACATCCTACTGGTAGATTGTAAATTATGTCTTACGCTATGCTCTGAAAAAAGTTCAATAGACGAAAGACCTTCTCGCGAGTGCGGTTCCATCTCTCTCCGTGTCGTTCCGTCTTTCACTCTCCGCCTTTCTCCCCGTCCCTCCGTCTCTTGGTCTCTTTCCGTCTGCGTGTCTCTCTCTTTCTCTGAGTCTCTGTTTTTTATTATATCTCTCTTTCTTCTCTATCTTCCTCTGTCTCCCTCTGTATCTGTCTCTCCTGGGAGAAATTTCACAATCGCAGGGGCAGAATACGTAATGAAGACGTCTTAATAATCGTACTTCGGTGTGCGTTGGGTGGCATAGATAGCGCCGTGGCATAAAGCGCCCTGATCAGAGCCCTTGAGTCTACATAAAATCATCATCAACGCGCTTCTATGTGTACAGGCATATGCACATTACCATCGTACTTCGCCTATATTCTTCCCGGAAATACAAATAATAAGTTGACAAAGTTTTACCGCAACTGGATGAACGGTACGGCAGCGAAAACGTGCATCGGTACGGCACGATTAGACAAACAAACAAACATAGTTTTTTAAATATAAGATCACACTAAGTGGGGAAATGGCGCGGATACTACAAACAGTTTCCTTTCCCGACGCTAGTTGCGCTGAGAAGTTCGTGGCGTGCCACGAAGAGTGCCAATGCCATCAGTAGGTGATCTTCGCATCTCTGTCCTACGTGGCATAACGAACACCGCTCCCTCCCACGCACACCGCTCGGCGCTGCCTCTGAGACGTGCGACGCGCGCCTGTTGCGCAGGAGATCCTGTGCTTCCCGCAGCTGCGCATCCTGTACCTGCACGGCAACCTCATCTGCAGCCTGTGCTCGCTGGCCAAGCTGCGCGGGCTGCGATGCCTGCGCACGCTCACCCTGCACGGCAACCCCATCGAGGCTGCGCGAGGCTACCGCGTGCAGGTGCGGCGCCGCGCGAATCATTAACCCGGCATGACAATGGATACCAACTACATTTCTCAT